TACATTTAACGTCTAGCTATTCTTTTGCTACTTTTATCCTCAATGTAGCCTTTTGCAATGTTTGCCTTTTAGCTAGTCTTTTGCTACATTTAACTTCTAGCTATCCTTTTGCTACTTTGTTTTAGCTAGCTTTTGTTTCTTTTAGCTTTTGGCTAGTATTTTGGTCCGTTTAGATATAACAACTTAGTTTCAGCTTCTTCAGCTCAATTTAAGCAAAGTCATTCATCACTCAGGATTCATACCATCTTATTTTTATAGTTTTTCAATCTGAACTCTTTATCAGACCCGTGGTAGTTCTTCAAAGGAGCGCATGTTTGTATGAAATGCTAAACTCTACTAAAAACAAATATTTTCCAGGTGTGTATGTGGGGGGTGTGTGCGTGCACGTGTGTGAGAGGACGGTTTAGGGTGCTCACCTGATCGGTTGTCTTGGCTTCGAAGCACCACTTCCTCCACACATTCAGAGGGGAACCAACCGGTGCGACCTCGGACCGTCCCCTCCCAGTACCCGCCCTCGCCAACACTCAGCACTAGAGGGTGAGAGCAGCAAAGAGCCGAGCGTCACAAGGCAACACAATAAAAACAAACACTCAAACATAGAGAGCAAAATAAACAAAAGCACACAAAAAGACGGTAAGAACATTATGCAGACAGGAAAAAAAATAATGTAGACACACGCACGAACATGCAAACCTACATACTCACCAAGACATACATACCTGGCGACACTTTAGACTCACTCACAAACACACAAATATTCATACCTGCAGACATTAAATACAAACATATGTGGAGGCCTTACAGTGATGTTAGGGCGAGCAGTTCACAAACACCTGACTCTGTCTCCGAGTCCAACAGAAGGACCGTCGCTTCAATCTGGACTTTTAAACAAACCTTAAGAACGACTCTCTTTACCTGCGGGTAAATCTCAGCGTTTGACTTCAGAACTCTTTGTCCTGTTAAAGTCACTTTTTCCTCACAGGCTGAGCTAAAATGTGAGCCTCAGTCGCTCCACTCAGCTGTGGTTTTCTTGGAAATGTTCAACAACTTGGGACTTGAATGACTACCAAAGGGCTGCGAGTGCTGCTGTAGTACACATTTAAAACCACCTGAGCTCAACCAGTGCTTTTTTGCTTTTGAAGTCTACTGGTAGTAGTCTTATAATTTTTTATGGGCAGTATTTTCCACGTTATTTCAGCTTAGCTGAGCTTCCCTTTCAAGAATTTTAATCATAGTTGTTGTTTTGATATTTGTTGCTCAAAAAAATGATTTAAATTAGCAACAATATTGTGGAAAATATCCATCCGTCCATCTTCTACTGCTTATCTGCAGTCTGGTCGCGGAGGCAACAGGTCCAGGAGAGAAACCCAGACATCCCTTTCTGCAGTGACACTTTCCAGCTCATTCTGGGGGAGCCTGAGGCGTTCACAGGCCAAAGACCCAATCCCTTCAGTGACTTCTGGGTCTTCTCTGGGGTCTCCTACCAGTGGGACATGCCTGGAAAACCCCTAAAGGGAGGCGTGGAGGCTTTCTTATCAGATGCCCGAACCTCCTCAACTGACCCCTTTTGATGCGGAGGAGCAGCGGCTCTACTCTGAGCTCATGGAGCACCTCACCCCATCTCTAAAGCTGAGCCTGGATAGTCCCCCCCCCCACACACACACATACACACAAAACGCCTCATGGAACATGGTCATAAGCCTAATTCAGGTTCACAAAGCACGTAGACCAGAGATCAAACTCCCATGACCCCTTTAGCAACTCTGCAAGGGTAAAGATCTGGTCCACTGATCCACTGTTCCATGGCCAGGACGGAGGTCAAACTGTTCCTCCTGAATCCAAGATTTGACAATTGATCGGAGCCTCCCTTCCAACACCCTGGAGTAAACTTTCCTGGGGTGGGCAAGAAGTGTGATCCCATGATGGAACACTCCCCCGATCCTCCTTTTTTTGTTTTAAATGGGAACCACCCCCTCGGTCTGTCGTTCCAAAGACGTTGTCCCAGTCCTCCATGCGACATTGAAGACGTGTCACCCATGACAGCCACAACATCCAGAGTCTTCAGCACCTCAGGGTGAATCTCCTCCACCCCTGGCGCCCTGCCACTGAGGAGCTTTTCAACGACCTCGGTGACCTCTGCCATGATAACGGACTCGTCTTGTGGAAAATATAACTTTTATAATTGTTATACCTGTATATAACAAGATACATATATAAAAATATTTCTAATTGTTTTAAGAAAAACCCATCACAAGTAAACTTGTTTTATTTAAATTTGACCTAACGTATCACTGAAAGCTGCGTGTGGAAGTTTCCACCTGCGCCCTGCGGGGTTCACGTCCGTCTTTTCAGACACCGCTGATGGAGAGGCTCGATGGATTTAAGCCTCGTTTTGTTTTAATTTTTTCAGTCACTGTTTTTTGTTAAGCTTTTGCCCAAAGCAGTGAAGCCATGTCCAGTTAAGACTCCTACCTGAACTAGCAATAAATGTGACGTGTCCTCACCGCACCGCATACAGCACACTATACGCCTGTTGACAAACTATTATACAGCAATCGGTAGCAATGAGCCAGACAAGCAAAGACCAGCTATAACCTGTGACCTTGGTTTGTGACATTGACCTTGAAGCTGTGGTGATTAAAGGATTACACATATACCAGATACAACAATGTGAAAATGCTTCCTTTCTCACCTTTGACCCGATCTCCCTTATTGAAGCTTATTTCCCGCTCTCCCTGAGCAGAGTGGGACCGAGTTGCTACAAAGACTCGTCCCGGGACGGCGCTGTAGAGGCGTCTCCGCTGGCCCGCAATCTGTACGGTGGTGGTGGTGGTGGGGGTGGGGGTAGGCCTGAGAAAATTAGGAAAAGGCATTAAAAACTGCATTTTTTTAAGCCCTCTGCTCCTTTTAGGAACGTTACACTTTAGGGGCAGCTGTGGATAAGAGGTTAGAGCAGTCGTCCTCCAGTGGGAGAGTTGAGGGTTTGATTCCTCCAGCAGTCACATGTTGAAGTGTCCCTGGGCAAGACACTGAACCCCTCATTACTCTGATGTGTGTCCCATCAGTGTATGAATGTGATAAAGCTCTGATTAGTCTCTGCAGATTCAGATCATCTTCGTAGAGTAGTAGAGTGCTGTATGAGTGTGTGTGTGGAGGTAGAGGGCACAGAGTGTGTTGTAAAGAGCTTTGAGTATCTTGATTAGATGGAAAGGCGCTAAATAAATAGTCCATTTACAATTCATCACTAAATGTACTTTGTTTAAAAGGACAAAATAGAAAAGTCTACAATATTTTTCTTTATGATTTAAAAATTGCAACATTTTGTTCACAAGAAATTTCAGATGCTGAATCTTTATTTGCTTTGCTAAAAAAAAAATA